GAAATTGAATCAGAAATTTTAGAAAATTTAGTAGAAAGTATGCTAAGAAGAATTTAAACTGTAATAGATAGTAATGGCAATCTAATTAAATATTAATTTTATAAATAAAAAATTCATGTTTTTATGAATAAAATAAAAAAAATTATTCAAATTCACTTATTAATTTTTTTTATAATTAAAAATTAAAATTGGTCATAAATTTAAAATTTGCAATAACTTTTTTTTTAGTCTAATAATTTTGACCAAGAAGTATACATAAAAGGCAAAAAGTACAGCTACTAGTTCTGCTAATGAGAATGAAAGTTAAAGAAGAAGAAGGGTAGTATTAAAGGAAAGTAAGAGCTCTGATAGATCAGTTTGTAACTAAACTACACTCATATAAATAGATGAAAAACCTAAATTAATAAGGATACTATCAGTATAAAATGAGAGATTATAAAAAAGAGTTTTTAAATTATCTAAATTAGTGAGAATATCTGCATTAAAACTCTTTTTTTAAAAATTTTATTAACGTTTAATATTTGAATGAAATAAATCTTATAAGAAAATAAGATATCTGAGAATTATAAGATATATATTAAAGTATAATATAAGAAGAAATACTTATAAAAATAGTAAAAATTATAAAAAACAAAATGTGTATTATAAATACTAATATAATTGTGAACAATATACTAAATTGCATCTATATTTTCTTTATTATTTATATTAATATTAATAAAAAATTTATTATACTAATTAGATTTAAACATAATTATTATTTTTTTAATTTTAAATTATAGTTAAGTCACTAATAAATAAAGCAACAATTATAAATTTAAAAAAAATAATAAAAAAAAATTTGTAAATTGTATTCTAATTACTAATTTTAAATAAAAAATATTAATGTTCTTATATATAACTTTTTTATTTAATTAAGTTTATTTAGTTTATATACTGAAAAATAATAAAAATTATTATTATTAATTATTTATTAAACAATTTTTAAATAAATTTTTATTAATTTTAATTATGTTAAAAATGTAATTAATAACTTATTTTTTTATAATATTATTATATTTTTTTTTTAAAAAAAGTATATTTAAGTTTAAATTATAATAATAAATATAGATTATTTGTATAACTTTGATATATTATTTTTGAAACCTTTTTATATATAATAAGTTTTAAAAGTAATGCACTGTCATAATTAAAAATTAATTAAAATTAGCTAAAAGTGCTAAAAGTAATGCATTGCCAATTTTTAATTAATTGTCATATAATTTAAAAATCAATTAATTAATCTATATTAAATTTATATATTTATTAATTTATATAATATAATATTTATATATTTTATTTTATTTAAATTAATCATAATCATAACTGATATCAATTAGTTAAAGACTTCTAATTGACTGGTTGACTGACTGATTCTATCCATCACTAAATAAAAATAACAAAGTAGTTTTAAAAAAATGTCATGCTAGAATTGTTAAGCAAGAATTAAATTATAATATTTGACTAAATAATTACATTACTATTAACCAGTCAATTGTTAAATGATCGTTGACTAAATACGACTGACCGTTACCATCCCTAATTATAAGTATAATTTATTTAATAAAATAATTTACAAATTTTCAATATTAATATTTTTAAATAATAAAATCAGCTAAAAATAAGATATTACCATATTATTAAATATTTTGTTTTAATAAAAAATCAGTTAAATTTAAAATATAATACTATATAAATATTTAATAAAAATGATTTTTTAATAAAGTAGTTTGTTAATAATAATAAATATAATAATTAATAAAAGTCTATTACAAATAATAGTCTTTATAATGTTAATAATATTTAGTTTAATGTTTTATATTACATACAAATGAAGCTGTAGTATTTCTAGTTCAGTTAGGAAATACTGCGATAGAATGCTGTATGTTTAAATACATAAATAATTTGATTGGCTTAATTACTTACGGACGTCGCGTAATTGTACTATCAAAAAAAAAAAAATACTATGGAACTCAAGTATAGATCATTCAGGTGACACAAACTAAATGACAAAGCATATGGAATGCCTGACGAAGCTATCTATTCATGAGATAACAACATAATAAAGATTTCGTAGATTTCGTGTTACAAAAAAAGGTGGAACAATATAATCTCAATCGGTTAATCTCTCAAATTTCAATTAAAGGATATGCAAGTGGAAAATTATTACGAGATTCATTTCATCCTGAACCAGTTTATTATTTTCCGGTAATTAGATAAGGTAAAAATGTTTATTTATTACAGTTGAAAAAATTGATTATATAAAAATTTTGTTTATAAAAAAAATTAAATTATTTAGCCCAATCAGGAAGTACGGAATAATGAAAATACCAATTGACGGGATACTGTTGACTCTCACCAGACTCGAACTCACACCTTTTACACTTGCATATAAAACCAAAAGTTGTAGCCAATCCAGCATGTCTTTCAACCTTATCATGTCTAGGATTACAATAACTCTTGAAAGCTTGATGATCCGATTTAATATCCGTTAAAACACTAAAAAAGATTCTAGCAGGATGATAAGAATTATCATTATCATTAATACTACAAAGCATCCTTGCGCTATCACGAATCGTTCCAGCACTATTATCATAATCTTGAGATAAATATTGAGCATCAAGTAAATTTGGTGCACAACTATGATTAAATAATGAGGATAATGGATAAAGTACTGATGTATCCATCGCTTCTAATTCACCAGGTCCAGGATATGTATTTGGCATGACCATATTCATCACGGTAATAAAGATCCAAAAATCATAACGTAAATCAAACTTGGAAATGTCTAGAATACGAAGAATAGTTGTATAAATTTGATGTAACGAGGGATCATAAACCATTCGACCTTTGTATGGAGTTAAAGCGGGTGTGAATCGCGAGAGATGTTTAATTTCCTCAATATCTAAAGGACAAATATCTCGAATTATTGCTACAGCGAAAAGTCTAATGGTTAACATCAAGTATTGTAAAACTCCAATTTTATCCGAACGAATGATATCAATAATCTCTTGAATGTCATCATTCTTTCCGCAGAGAGGTTGATGATATAAATTCCAGGCTAAATTATGACATTTCTTACTACAAAAAACTTCCTTGCATTTTTTTTTTGGACAGGTATAAGCTTCCCTATCCGCTCTTACTCTTCGTGGTTGATAATATGAATCCGTAGGGACGAGATCTTTAAGTTCGTGAAAACAATAATCGCAACGAAATACGTAATAATTATGAGCTGGTAAGAAGGGATTTTCTTGAAATACGATACGATGAGTCGAAATTGAATCCTTTACAAAAATACCAAGCTGAGCTGAAGCATCAATATCGACAATGGAAACTTTAAGTAAATTTTTACTCACAGCATCAAGTTTCTGTTGAAGCTGTTTCAACGATTCTTCTGATGTTCGTTCCTCATATCTTTTATCCCAAGGATATTTTTTATCAAATTTATAAAATCCATGTCTCATAGGTTGCTCAGTCGATAAAGGATCCATACCATTAGTTTGTAAAAATTGTTCGAATAATGAAGACGTCTTATAATGTTCCTCTTTCTTCTTTTCCAACATTTTAAAATCAGACTTTGGATAATCTGGATCTTTGCCAACTAAATCAATACAAGCATTGTATTCAACCGCCGCATCTTTAGGTAAACCTAAAGCACTGTATGCTTCTGCCTTACGATATTTTACTTTAATTCTTAATTTGATTGAATTTATATCATTAAATTTGTCTTCTGGATATTCCGCTAAAATAGCCTCCGAATTCGTCGTATCATGTAATACTAGTTCAGGATACCCGGCTTTAAGACATGTAAAAGCTCTGTTGCACCAAAGATATGGATCTTTTGGTGTATCTTGAAGTCCATCAGTATAATGTTGCCATGCTGAAATATAGTCACCTTGCTTAATTGCTTCTTTTCCTTTTTCTCGATAATCTGATGAAGGCATTTTTATTGTATATTATTATTATTTTTTTTTTTTCCTGAGAAGAAAGACGATCGGAAGGAAAAAATAAATTTTTTTTTTATGTATTAATCTCGTTTTTGTTTCCTATTTAATCATAAGATCTTCAAATTTGCAACGTAATACTTGAATCGATCGATGGCTTAGTTTTATAACACGTGATTATAAGCCCATTGAATGACCAATAACCGTTTTCCAACAGAATGTTATTTGAAGATCAGTTAAAATACGATAAATTCACACGAAACTACTACAAAATTGATATGTAAAACCTCTTCTTATATAGAATAGTTTGCTAGTTAGGTGAGATAGCGAGATATTAGGCCTGTTCATTTCGGGTTTTTGATCGCAAAATCCGTTAACCAATCCAAACATGTGATCAAATCAGAATTGAGTTGGGATTTCTGATCGCAAAAAAATTTCAACAAAAACCAATCGGATTGCTGATCAAGGTACACAATTTCGCCAGCCAATAATTATCAAACTATTGTTAACACGTGACACTTATCAATCAATTAAACGATGATTTTTGAAATTCGTTTTTTAAATATACCCTTTGTATAAATAAAAAGTGTCATTTGAATTATTTTTGTCCTGAAAGAATTTTCTATTCCCCATCCCCATAAATCATCACAATGAATTCTCTCAGAATTTTTTATATAAGTTGTGTGTGACAAACATGTGTAACCGAACCATTTTGCGCATTTGCGCCAGATTTTTTTTAGAAAGTGATCTACCTGTTATTTCGGATATTATCCGGTGCATAAATCTTTATAAATTCGTGTAATTCAAATTGATGTAGTCCTCATATGATGCTTTAATAAGCCATTTAAATTTTCGACAAAGTCTCATTTTTTAAGAATTAAAATAAGAAAACACCAAGAGGTCACAATCAACTGCGGAATGCTCATTTTGGTAAATTGCGCATGAGAGGTAGGAACTTATAAAAATACAAGTTTGGGAACATCCAAATGAAAAATGTTAATGTAATTTGGTAATACAATGTCTAATCGGTCAAAAACGGGAGTTATCCGGTACGACCAAAAAAAAATAAAGCTTTTAATAAGCCATTTGTTATTCAAAAGTAAAAATTCATGCATAATCAATCGGAATTAAAAAAAAATATACGCTCATTTAGGTTTCAAACTTACTCGCCAGAAATAAATGTTGCGGTGATTTTATATTTTTCGAATTTAGAAGGTTTGTGAAAGTAGAATGATGGTTACGTAATATCGAGCAGAGATCTTTAAATGTTTATAAAAACATCCCTTATCTCAAATTCGGAGAATCTTTTTTTTTTCTCAAGCTACTATACGTCAAAATCAAGTTTTTACGAAATCATTGAGGAAATGAACAAGGTAAATTAGATTAATTACTTCTTTCGTCAATTATTATAATCGATTTATTTATTCTGTCAAACGAACAAAGGAATGATTCTGAGAATTTTTACCAAATTAACGAACTTCAATGACGAGGGTATTAAAAGGGATGAATTAGAAAAGTTATTTGGAAAAAAAAAAGGAATTCGGAGTTATTTGCATGTCCACATGCTTTTTTTAAGGCTTAAAAGTGGAAAAGGTGTGAAACCATTTTAAAAAAATATATATCGTAATTAAACTTTAAATATTTGGAAACAAAATTGTCTCATGTGGTGTAACAAATAAATCCTAAATTTAATCTCGCATAAAATGCAGAGTTTTTTTTTAAAAATTTTATTGCTTTAAAAATGTTTTCTTTTCGTGCGTCACAATCTTATTATATCCATCTCAATTATTTATGGAATACTAGACAGATTTATCATCACATAATGTTATATATATTATGTAAAGGAGATTGGTAAATATGGATTGGATAACGATTTAAATGAAACTTGAAATTCAATAAACGTTATTTTTATTATTATGACATCAAGTTTCGTAATCATACTTTGAAGAAATGGGAAAATGGGACGAATTTGAAAGTGAACTTTATTAACTTTATTTAAAAGGGTTCAATAGATTTGCCAAGATAAAACAAATAAAAATAAAAAGAATCCGGGAAAATTTAATGTACCCTTTTCGAATTACTTAAGTATTTACATCATTATTTGTCTTGTCCTAGGAAGTTTATATAATAAAATATTAACGACTAATGTTAGAAAATTGAAAATGCATAAATTAAAAAAAAATAAATGCGACGCACTATGAATAATGAAAATCTGAAAATCATCAAATAATGTTTGTGTGTGACCTTTTACAAATTTAATTAGATGTTGAAAATTGTCTGTTTATAAGATATGATAATTATGCATTTGGTGAACTGGATCTTTTTTGAATTTCTAATCCTGATTTCAAAAGAGGTATAATTACGCTATATTTGGACATGCCGAAATTCCGATGACGAAAGGTTATATATATAAAAATAAAAATTAAAATTAAACAATTAAAATCTTACGATTAAATTGTTTTAATTCATTAATAATACCTATTTCAAATACCACACGACTTAAGTTTGTAGTACAAATCCCTCTTTATCCTTTCATTATAATGAAAAACAAATACTTAAAGCAAAAAAATATTAATTGACTCTTCAGAAAATTTGAAAGCGAAAATCTCTAGAATCACATCATAAAAAATGTCTTGTCTACAATTTTTAATCTGTCTATGCCTACTTCTTATTGTGATTGATGCTTTTACTCCTAAAGATCGTATAGGATATTCTTCTGCTCTTGTGGGAAAGAAGATTTATTTTTTTGGTGGAAAACTGACCAGTGTTGAATATTCGAATGAAGTTTTTCAACTAGATGTATCGCAACCTTTTGACACAATAGCTCCACCATGGGTTAACCTTTCATATTCTGCTTCAATCCCGTTCTTCAGTGTGGATGCAACGACTTCAGTTATCGATGATAAGATTTATTTAATAGGGGGATACATGTTTGATCTGACAACAAAGGAAGAAATATTCGCATCGTCTGTGTATACTTTTAATATTAATTCAATGCAATGGAAGCTTACCACGATGAAAGGGAAAGCGCCTCAAAGAAGGGGTCTTATGAATGCAGTTACTGATCAGGCTGGAAAAATATATGCTTTTGGTGGATATGATTATCCTAATAATCAGAATAACAGCACAAAAGTATTTAATGACATGATAATTTTGGATACAACGGATTCAATTTGGTCTTATGGCACAATAATCAATTCCCCATTTCCTCGATATTACTATACTGCTACAATGTTGTCTGATGATGTCATCGTTTATATTGGAGGGTATGAGGTTGTCGGATGTGAATTATGTTTTCAAATTGTTGACATCAATCAAATTATTCTATATGATACAAAAACTGATTCTTGGACCAAGATGGTACTTTGATTAAAATTTTTTTTTTTTTTAAAAAAAAAAAAAATTAAATTTTATTCTCTCTTAGAAAGCAGGAGGTGTTGAAAAAATTGATCCTCGCTATTCCCATACCGCTGTACTTGGTTAATACTGTTTTTCCTTTAATCTTAACAGCGTTGATTTATTTTTTAATTAATTTCAATTTTATTTATTTGAATTTATTTTTATATTCAAAAAGATTCTAATAATCAAATTATTGTTTATGGTGGAGATAAATCTGTATCTCAAATTGCCTCACCGTCTTTAATTGTTTTAAATGTAAATATCAAACCATATGAATGGATTATACCGTCAACTAACGGTAACATCCCTCCAACACTCGCTAATCATAGCGCCTTTATTATTGAAGATTATATGATACTCGCTTTTGGTAATTGAGTTTTTTTTTTTTTTTTTTTTTTAATGATAAATGATAATTTGAATGTTACAAATATTAACTATTTTTTATGGTCAAGGTAATATAATAATGCCAGATGATCATCCCTTAGAAATCATGAATACAAACGTTTATTTGCTCGATTTAAGAACCTTTACGTGGGTTAACTCATTCAATCCTACCAATCTGTCCCCAACTATTATTATTAATCCAACGAATACAACATCATCGGTGCAAATTACCGAAACATCTTCCATTGCTAGCAATAATTCTTTGAATCCCAATAATCTTTTAGATCCATTTGAAGAATATCAACAATTAACCACGTTAAAGGTCGTCGTTGGAACAATTAGTGGAATCTTTGGTACGGCATTTTTGATGACTGTTGGATTCTTAATTTATAGGTGGGATAAGAAACGAATTAAAAGTGAAACGCTTAATATACCAGGCTCTACGGGTAATTATTATCAACCTTATTTGTATCGTCAAAACACCGTAGTTCCCGTTTTAAATCGCTATACATAAATTTACCTTTGCCTTTTGTTAACTATATGTATGTAAGTCTTTGAATTATTGTCAGGCATCAAATATTAAACACATGCAAGTTTCACGTTTGAAATTTTTTATAAAAAATAGTTGTTTCCATATCTTTTGACTCGAAATGAAAATTTTAATGCTCACCTCAGAGAACGAACTATATGGGACTTTTGCAATGGAAAGGGAAAGAATGAGTTAATGCTAAATCCGAACATATTTTGGTCTAAAAATCATATTTGTCATATGAAAATAAAAATTGATTCTTTCCGGCAGTTACCCCCCTTTTTATTGCAAAGGTCCCATAATAATTAAAATAACGAGTTTGGCGTGAATACGTTCTCAATTTTGTAATTACTCGAAGGTTAATTAAGAAAAAGGTTAAGCTTTAGGAAATAATGTCTGGTAACTGCAGAATAAACGGATCAAGCTTTACTACCCTTTTAAAAAATTATTTAATCAATTTTCAAAGAGGAGTCGCATTAGGGATTGGAATCGATTTCGATATTTAGAAATCGATTTAAGAATCGATTTTTGATTAATCTAATATAATCGATTTTTAAAATTTTTGGCGTAGCGATTTAAAATTAATTAAAATAACTCGCCGGGGATTAATAATATAAGAAAATTAAGAAAAGAATAATTCAAAGTTCAAAACTAAAAATAATTAATTAAAAAATTGCGAATATTAAAAATTAAAAAAAGATTTGATATTAAAAAAAAAAAAAATACCTCCGAAAAAAATAAATCAAAAACCAAGCGAAGAGTTTAAGCTCAAACTAAATTAAAGGGATTAACGAAACTAAAGATAAAAAATAAATAATTTGATTTTAAAATTTTAATTATGAAAAAAAATCAATTAATATAAATTTATCATTAAAATTAAAATTAAATAATAATATTTAATTACAACAAATACGAGAATTAGGATTAGATTAGGGTTAGAGATTATGTTTATAAAAACACCAATGATGAGTTAGGGATAAGATAAGGGTTAAAGTTAAGATTTGGATTATTTATCAATAACTTGCATTACTTTAAATTTTCTTTGTTATATATATGCTAAAACTTTAAAAAAATTAAGTTTTTTTAACAACTATTTCACGTCGAGTAGCGAACCTCCGGGGCATTGCCTGGTAAACGCTAGTTTTAATGATAATGAAAATCAATTATTTTAAGAATACTATACAATTTATACAATTACGTCCAAAAATATATTATTAAAATCGATTTCGATTCGATTTTCGATTAATTCGATTTTATTAGAATCGATTCCAATCCCTTAAGTCGCATGATACTTTCTTACATAATATAAAATTACTTACATATATTCTCATTAAGAACTTGATTTTATAAGGCTGACATACACTACCCTCGGAAAAGTATCGGGTCAACCAAAATAATATTTTATTTATTTGAGATTTTCGATATAAATAAAACATTTAATATATTTAATATTCAGTAG